ATGGGCATGGGCATTTCCCGCCAGCTGCAACCAGTGCCCTGCCCCTGCCCCTGCCCCTGCCCCTGCCCCTGCCCGGCGGGAAATGCTGCAGCGTGGGGGAGCCTCCCGCGAGGCGGGGGAGCTGCGTCGTGGGGGAAGCTGGGTCTGCTTCCTCGACTCATTTATTTCCCCGCTCTCCTTGGGGAAGGCTGGCTGGGTGCCCGGAGCTGCCCCCCAGCACGAGGTTGGCAGCGCCCAGCCGGGCGGGCAGAGTTCGCGTCCCGCTTGGCCGGGCTGGGTGTCCTGTCCTAGCCAGCGGGGAGCGAGGTGATGGGGTGAGGCCGGGGTGAGGCGGGACTGTTGCTTCTGGGAAAGGAGCAATAGTCTCTTTAACTGGAAGGGAGAAGCGGATCGGAGAGGTGGGCTCAGACCCCGCTCCCGCCCCGGGCTAGCGGGAACCCGAGGGTGTCGCTGGGGTGGCACGCGAGGGAGCTGGGGCATGGCTCGCTTGCCTCCTGGCCCGGCCAGGGAGCGCGTGGGCATCGGCCTGCGTGAGCAGGCTGCTCGTCCGCGACTGGCACCTCGTTTGTGGCAGGCTGAAGGGGGAGGAACGGGACCAGGTGGGCCAGCTCGAGGCAGGGAAGGCCTCGGCGATAGCTGTGACAGACGTCTTCGCGATGCAGGCCCTGATTACGGACCTGACCCCACATCACGTTTACTTCGGTACAGGCGGAGGCAGCTGCTGGATGCGAGCCATTGAGTGTTTAAGCTTTGTGAGAGTTGTATGTGTGTCAAGCGGCCTTGTCAGTAGCACTGCGAGCTCCTGTGCTGCGGCCACGGAGCAATCCAGTTTGGCTGGGCCCACTGTGATTGACCTAACTAAGGCAAGCCTGCATTTCGAATAGTGCCCGTGAGAGCTCGCGGTGGGAAACGCTGGAACGGGTGGCCCAGAGAGGTGGGGAAATCTGCATCCTTGGAGGTTTTTAAGACCCAGCTAGACAAAGCTTGGACTGGGATGATCTAGTTGGGGATGGTCCTGCCTTGAACAGGGGGTTGGATGAGATGGCCTCCTGGGGTCCCTTCCAGCCCTAATTTTCTCTGATTCTGCACAGTGTGGGACAGACTGACCACAAAGGTTTGCAGGACTAAAGCCCAGGTGTGGCTAGCTGTCTGTTAAAGAGCAGGAAGTCCAAGAAAACATTTGTTCTTTGTGTTATGGTTGTACCCTGAGCCCTGCTGTGAGAGAGGTGCATTCACTGTACAAGTAAATAAGGAAACTGGCCCTTCCCAAAGAGGATTTAAATCAATGTAATCTAAAGTAAAACTTGCACATGGAAAAATGCCACCCCCACAGAGGAAAAATAAAATCCAAACTTGCTGGGGGATGAAGAATGCAGCTTATACTATTAGGCTTCCAGTAGGTTGGGGAAGTGGATTAAGATTGGCATACTGCCCCACACTTTAGTTTTCTCCTTTTTCCTTTAACTTGCTACATTTAATATATAAAGTATTTACATAGAAAGTACAGTGCAGTAAAACCAGATCTAATATTCATGGTGCACATTTGATTTCCTCTATAATTGTAAAGGAAAAAAGTTGCAATCGATGACTCGGCAAGATTTCCACAAGCAGCCACGGAAAAATACCGTTTTAAAAATGTTAACAAAAAATAAGGGAACTATGCCATGACTTTGACCTTAACATTATAAAAATAGTGGAAAAGGCCTAATATTCTAGGGAAACTACATTTTTCATATCCCAGAACCATTCATCCAATATTAGTAGTAAAACCAACTTGCTGAAGAAGTGGGAAAACTACCTGAAAAAGTAGTTGTCATGCTGACAAAATGTGATATGCCAACTTTTTATAAATTTGTCATATATTATGACCTTCAGCTATCAAACTTAGAAGCAGATACCATCTCATTTTCACACTTAAAGGTACTGTTTTTCATGCTGTAGTTTTCCATCTGATCCTGCATTAGATTAGGCTCCCAATCATGCTGGGCTTGCATTAGTAAGACAGTTTCCTAGGTCAAGAGGTAAATATATTAAAAAAAGGAGTCAAGTGAACTGGGAGCTTAAGTCTCATTTTCAAAAGATATTTAGGAGCTTTTGAAAAGGCTTGAAAAACTAATACATAAAGTGTGATTCTCTGCAATTCTTTTATAGCTTCTCACATTTTTCAAAATTTCTGAGGCCTTAAACCTGCAACCCTTAGATACGGATTTAATTTTATCCAGACGTGTATTTCCATGGAAATCAATGCATATATAAAGTTATCCACGAGCACCAGGGCTTCAGACATTTCCAATACGTCCATCCCCAAAGTATCTAGGCATCAAATATTTATATACAAGTAACAAAACATATCAACTGGCATCACTTTTTTATTGTTTAGAATAAATTAACTTTTATTTTAAGATGCTTCTTCGCTGTAGAGAGGTGAACTAGGCAGCAAGCCAGTAGACTGAACCATCAAATATGTATTAAAAGACTGTCAAAAAATAATATCGGAGAGAGAGAGAACCTGAAAGCAATAAAGCATCAATTAACACACCATGCCAAGGGCTCTTGGAAATCAAAAGTGCAGCTTAAAAGGGGTGGACTCCACAGCCCTGCTATGTTCAAGGGGCTTCACAAGAAAGAGGCTGCAGAGCACACAAAAGCCTGACAAGACCTCGGTGTCTGTGCTTGACCCAACGGAGAAAGGAGTCCTTAGAGGAGATCCAATGAAGTAAGAAGTTTGGACTGACTCCAAAAAGGGCTTTACAGTTATGAACACAAAGGTCACCTTTTCTACCTTGCTAACTGGCCTTCCTACGCCTTCTGTAGCTGGCAGAGGTATTTTTGGGAGCAGAGGCTCTCCGAAGTTAGGCAAACCCTGCTGATTCAAGAGCTGTCAGGGGGAGGGTGGGTGAGTGCCCTGGCATAGGAGACCAGGGGGTTGGCCGACACTCTGAAAGTCCCTTGTCCAAGTAGAGGCAGCAGTGATGTAGGCAGCAGCACCGTGTGTCAGCGGTCAGATAGGAAATGCATCAGGGTTCATTCGTATCCAGCAGCTCTTTGGGTAGATGTGATGTCTTTTATTAGACCAAGGAGTTGGAAACAAGTTCTTTGCAAGCTTTTGGGTGTAATATCTCTCATTCCCTCAAAGCCTCCATGCTGGCTTTGGGCTTTCTCCTGATCTAGCAACCCATACATGGATAAGAAGGCATAACGATAAATAGTTGATTATTTAATATTTGCTACGGTAACACCTAGAGGCTCCTCTCAGTTATCGGGATCCAGTGGGTAAGGTACTGTGCATCCTCCAAAACATTTCCTGCCCACAAATGCTCATAACGGAAATATCATTTTCTGCTTTTCCCCCTTCCTAGACTGTCCTCAGCCAGGCAGAGATGGCAGTACAGATTTGCATGGTGTTTCTTAGGCATGTATGAAGACGTGCCTGGAACAGCAAACAGCTAGGCAGAGACATGGATGTGACCTGCAAGCAGGCAGAGGAAGTGGTAATGTAAGGGTTAACTTCCATAAGTCAATGCAAGGCAAGTAATTGCCCTTCTTCTTCCTTCTTTATTTTTAATCTTGTCACTACCTTCCTTTGCATTTGCTGCAGCTCAGACCAATGCCCCTGACATGTTTCTTGATTTAAAGTATTGCTCAGTTGTATTGTGCACTTGGACAGGGTGGAAAAGAAGAGAGAACCAGCTGGCTGTGCAGTGGTAGCAGCACATAGATAGGGTCCCTGCTTCTGAACAAGGGGTAGGGAGGAAAAACTAGGGAGTTGTCAATCAGGTACAAACATCTTGCTGAAAGCTGGGGTGTAACGGAGTAACTCTGGATATCCCGGAGCACAGGTTGCAGAACAACCGTTGCAGATTCTCGGAGTAACAAGACAGCTGCTATCTCAGTCCTAGAAGAGCTCTCCAGATAGGTGACCGGCCCAGATGGGGTATCACTCTGCATGGCAGGCATTCCTGGCATTTTGCAGTGTTTTTACTGTCAGCCGGCCAAGGAGAATTCCTGCCTTCTTTGTTGGGGGTGTCTCACTTCCCCCACAAGCTCAAGAGAGAGAAAGTATAACCAAGAGGACCCAAGAGATACCAAATTGCTATCCTATATCAGCCAGTACGAGATCAGTCCTTCAGCCTGAATGCAAAAGAGGGCTGCTTCTTAGATCTGGTTAAAGGGAGCTGGCTGTGCCAATTCAGAGTATATCAAAGAGATACAGACTCTGGGCCAAATCTGAACAAAAAGCAGGGTCAGGTCACAAAGCAGCGAAGTATGAGCACCTGGAAATGCACAAAAAGGAAGATAACCCATCCCATGCCAGCAGTCTCTTTGAAGTTGGGGCCTTGCAGGGCCAAACCCACAACTGTTCCAAAATAAAGAAAAGGCAGCTAGCTTGTCCATAAAGTTCAGGAGAGAGTCAGCACCTGTTTTGTTCAGGCTCCTTCTGCACCAGGGACAAGCCAGTCCCGTCTCCCATAATAGAAGTCATAGACACATAGGGTTGGAAAGCGACCTCAAGGGTCACTAGTCTGAAACCCAGGAAGTCCAGGAAAGTTTTGCCCAGCCCAGGATGGCAATGTGGCTGTCAAGAAACGAGTTTCTAGCAGTTCTTTTCCCTGGGCCCCAGAACAAGGCTATCTGGTGCCTACGCTGAGCCAGGCCTGTCCCTTCCCTCTGAAGGGAGAAGGGGAGAGAAGTCCAGCATACCTGCTCATGAACCATCCTGAGTCCATAAAGCCAGGGGCAGCTATATGGTTTCTCTTCCCTTAACCCCGAAACTTCCTCTCCCTGCATTTCAGGGGCAACGCCTGGAACGCAGGGCAGGGCTGGGGTCGAAGTATTTTCTTGCAAGCCTTACTAGGGAGGACATGCCCAGTTACTGAGACCCCCAGTCACAAGACAGCACCTTCAAATACCTCCCCACAAACCAAGTGCTATGCTTGTCCGTCTGTACTAGGAAAAAAAATAATAAAACAAAGCCACTGTAGCTCAGAAGTCTCGACTCTTACACACCAGCCCCAGGATTATAGCTCAACTTCAGGCACAGTCTGCATGTGAAAAGGTATCCTCTGTATTGTCTCAGGAGGGAACACCTCCTTGCATCCTGCCCGTTATCTACAGGGGGCAGGGTATTTTTTGATGTCTCTGAAAGGATCCTTCTGTCCAGGCTTTTCACCACTCCACACCTCCAGTGAGGTGCTAGTCCTGCTTTTTTCATGGAGGACAAACTCAGCATTGGGTAGTAATTAACTTGATAAGAGCAGTAAAGAAACACAGCCCACAAGTGGAGTTGATAGAAGCCACGTGGGACTTAATTGCAATACTCCAGGCTCTTGCAAAATACCTGTCTGAGCCTCTTAAGAATGGTGAGATGAGAAGTCATGAAAATAACCTTCTTATTAGCAGTTATATCAGCTATATGTCATCAGCATTAACATTAAATCTACCATCCTTCAGCTTAAGGACTCTGCTGTACTTCAATGAGCTTACCTCTCTTAGCCAAAATTCATATTCTCCTGGCACGTTGGCTTTACGATTAAATCCCAGGCATTTGTGCCCAAACCCCCCGATTCTGACTTTATGAAACTTTTATTACAGAACAGAGCCTGTTCCAGCGGTTCGTGATTGCATCACTGCAACAGCGATGTGCAGCAAATCCAACAGACTGCAGCTTTCCCGAGCGCAGGGCAGCAAAGGAAACTGCTTAAATATCAAGTTTGTCACAAAAGGAGAGAGGTATCTACTGCAAAGTGAAATCTTTTGCCTTTCCCTTGGCAGTAGAGGCTCGCAGAGTGAATCGGCCTCCTGAGCAGAAACTGGCAGAGCTGAGACTTGACCCTGCCGAACATAATCTCTCCATAGGCAGGAGCTCGTTATTTTTGTCTAGTCGCAGCCGTCATCATTGGCCAGGCTGGTAGCCCCATCTTTTATTAGCATTGCCGGACACTTTCCCGTTAGAAGAGCCCATTTTCAGTAGCGATGACTTTGCCAGGATTTGCCCTTTCGACCGAAATGTTTCATGCCAGGTGTCTGCCACAGGCGGTAGAGGGGTTTTTTTCTTTCTATTTAAGCCAAAACCGTTCAGGCTTTTCTGATGGGGAAAATCGCAGTGTTTTTGCCCATATCAAAAAATGGCGGTGAGCTGTTCTTCTGTACGTTGTAGCACTTGCAGCGGGGACATCAGTGGAAGGAGAGCAGATGCAGGGGGCTCTGGTGTCCCTCATGTGCCTTTAGCCGTCCCTGTCAAAATCCAGCTAAATTTGACCAAGGTTACAAAATCCCAGCTTGGTCACACTGAAGGACTGCAGTTTCACAGTTGAATACAACCGGGTTTCCATCCACAGAGAGGCTGCTCCAGCCCAACTGCAATTTTAGGTATCTCCAGGCCTTGTTAGGGTCCAGGCACCTTAATGAAGGGCACCAAACCCAGCTGGTATCCAGATTCAAACACGGGGGAAGGGGAGCCTGCAGACACCACATCAGGATGAGGAGCCAAAGCGGGAAGAGCCTGAGAGTGGGGAGGGAAAGAAAACATAGGGCTGGAAATTGGGGTTGGGCATTGGGAGACCTGGGTTGAGGCAGGGACACCCCCATCCAGGTGCCAGGATTAGCTGGGTAAAGAAGCTTAGGTTTGGAGTTGGGAATGAGACTCGGAGAATGGAGGGGGAATCTGCAAAAGGAGCCTGGGACTAAGAGAGGGAGGTTGGAGAGCATGGATTTGGTGGGGAAGGGAGGGAGGGATGAAAAGCTAAGCAAGGGAACTGTCCTGGCTCAACAAAAAGACTGGGAATGTGCTGAAAAGCCTGAGAAATGAAGATTTAGGTGCAGAGAACGGGCCAGGGGTGGGAACAGGGACCGTGTGAGAAAACAGCACTCCCTTCTGCTGGTCCCCGCGGAGGCCTCACCAGCGTGGCGTGTGACAGCACTTTTTTCAGCATGCTGTTTTTAAAAACCTAGCAAATTATACATTAGAAACCTGGGGAATGAACAGGTGATTCAGAAGGAGAAGTCACGCATGCAAAAGCAAGGAAATGCCAGAAATAAGGTGCACGCATATTGTGATACAACCAAAAACCCTGCATATTGTGATGCATTCTTTATATGATTACCTGCTGTTTTCCCCCTCGTGCAGCGTGCAACATGGATAGTGCTCAGTCTCACCTAATGAGTAGCTACTGAGTATTTTGTTTCCCCCATTGCTAGAGGTGTGACCTCAAGCCTTATTTACTGCGCCCAGTTCAGACTTTCTCTGAAGATGAAATGATTCATTTCCTCCCAGGCTTTTCTGTGAGGCTCATCACTACAGGATCCAAGTGGTTCATAAACATTCATGACTCTATTTTCACAACAGCTCTTTAAGGGTAGGAGATATTTTTATCCTCCTTTTACAGATGGCATACTACGGTGCTGAGAGGTTAGGAGCAAACTGCCTGCTAATTTTGGAAGTGCAGGCAGAACTGGGGCCTGATTTTGCAGGGTACTTAGCAGTAGATGGACCTTTGTGTGTTCAGACCTGACTCTCGCTGATATCAGCTGCAGGTTTAAATGCTATGCTCATCATTGCACAGGAGGCTCCAGGGTCTCTAATTAGGCATCTAGAAAATGAACCCACAATTAGGGCCTGGACACAGGACATGTTTTCACCCATGTCACTTGTATCAGCTTTGCACAATGTGAATTACACTGGCATCTAGATCAGACAGACAGGGGTAGCTGCTCACAGTCGGTGTTATTACAGCATCTCACCACTTAGGCAGCAGGTAATAGCATGCTGGAACAAAGAGGTTAGCTGTGGGGTTACAACGGTGTATTTTTACCCCCCGATTTTTCTCTGGGCAGTTATTCACCAAAATTGAACAGTTTACCCTGGTATAAGGCTGTATGACGTGTGTCTTCTCTTTTTTATATATCAGCATAAAGCCAGTTAAAGCAGTAGAAATATTCCATGTGGCCAGCACCTTGATGAAATGAGCTTGGGTTCATGAAAGCTTATGTGCGCACGCTCTCTCTCTCTCTCTCATATGTGTACACACACACACACACACACAAACACACACACACACTCTCTCTCTCTCTCTCTCTCTTTTCAGTTAGTCTATATAAAGGTGCATATCTACCTTGCCTTCTGACGGCTTGTCTCACATAGCTAAGTACCTCTCTCTGCGTATGGATAGGACCATCTCTGAAAAATAGGGCTGAAGTGATTTATTCAACGTTTTACAGGCCGCTCCAGTCAAGACAGAGCTAGAGCCCAGCGCTCAAAGGTAGTGAGCACCTGCCTTCGCTATGAGACCCTTGAGTCGCATGCTTCATTCACTGCTCACCGTCCAACTTCTGCCTCAAGTGAAACAGGAGACCTGTGGCCTCCTTTACCACCACAACTCTCATTCATGCCAGGAGCAGGTCCATCCCGTGCAGTGAAGAAGGCAGAGATCGTGTGCAGGAATAGCAGCTGATCGTGTAACTAAAGCCCTTATCATGATGCATGTGCAAAGAAAGGCA